TATATATATATATATATATATATATATATATATATATATATATATATATATATAACTATATATATATAACTATATATATATATATATATATATATATATATATATATATATATATATATAATATACATATATATATATATATATATATATATATATATATATATATATATATATATATATATATATATATATATATATATATATATATATATATATAGTTATATATATATATATATATATATATATATATATATATATATATATATATATATATATATATATATATATATATATATATATATATATAGTTATATTATATATATATATATATATATATATATATATATATATATATATATATATATATATATATATATATATATATATATAACTATTCTTTTTAGTTGTTTACATCTATGATTTACTTGATATAATCAAAAATATTTCAAAGATAATAATGCTAAAATTTTTATCAATAGTAAATTTAGAACTTATCCAATTAAAGCTGTAACAGAAAGGTTTGTTGTTTTAGTTTAACTGCTGTCATTCTGTGTGCAATGATAAACTCACTAGCTGTGTCCAGCACATTATGAACTATATATATATTATATATATATAGTTCATAAACTATATATATATAATATATATATAGTTCATAATGAAACTGCAACTGCTTTGTCGCCTTTATTAAAGAGAGGAGTTCATCACTGCAAATGCCTATGATGTTTTATGAGTTTTCAAGCATGGCAGGTTAAAGTTTATCAAATTTGAAGGCTTTACTTTTATTAAGATTCTAAAGACTGTTGAGAACATCATTATAACTAATTTGAAATTACAAAAAATGTCACTAAATGTATATTTGTATCCACTATAGTTCATGTGTGTGTGGTAAATTCTAAAACTTTTTTGTTGAAAAGTAGTTAATTTTTACACTATAAACAAATAAATTAATAAAAATAAATAAATTATACTTAAATTTGAATGAAAAAAAAGGAGAAAGCAATACGAGCTTCATCGTTTCTTTTAAACAATGAAGCAATGATAAACTTTAGTTGATTTTTTTAACACACACTTCTTATTAAAAACATACAAACACAGGTCTTTAAAAAAAATAAGCATTAGATAATAATATAATTTGCTCCACTGAATAAATTGTGAGATTTTTGTATCCTTAGATATTAAACACGATAATTATTTTTGTGAAAGATTCGTGAAAATATTAATAACGGAAATTAGTTCATCCCAAAATACAGTAACATCGGAAATCACGGAAACTAGCTTAAGATGGTTATGTTGGTTATTTAGAAATGCGCAATCTTTAATATAGCATTAAATTGTCAGTATTTATGTAATATAGCATTATTGTCAGAAAATCATTTGTCATAGCATTATATCAATATTTAAATGAACTTAACCTTTGAAGTAAGCTATTTATCTAAAGTCAAAAATATTTTATTTTAGATTCATAAGGAATGTCGGAAGTTGTAATAGACACGGGAGGAATTTTTTTCATTTTCTTTATTTGCTATTAATATTATTTTAATTTGCTGTTTATATATAGATTTCAGTGACTCTCTCATGAAACAAAATTTAATTACAAGTATATAATTAATAAACAGACAAGGGCTCGAAAAAGATATGAAAGACATTACACGACCGGTTCTTTTCATTGATCATAACAACCTAAAGATCATAATAAAGTTCCAATATATTTGACCATATATCGTGTAAAAGAGGTCATAAATTTTAAATTACATGCAAATATTTAAGAAAAAACTACAGTCGGCAAGACTTAAAATCCATTATTTTGTTTAAAATTGAAATAATTTTAATTAATCGTTCTACATTTAAATATTTTTCTGAAGAGTTTCATAGCTGCCCAACAAATATATAGTTTGTTAGTACACCTTAGCCAATTTGTGTCTTGATGAGATGCTTTTTGCTAAACATCCATAGTTCTTCAAATGTGTTTGTTAGACAAATGTGTTTATTAAAAAGGTTAACATTAGACAAATGTTGTATAAAAGCTGTGTGCAACCTTTGTATTTTGTATTAAACCTACAACTGTAGGTTCTTCAAATTCAATTTTAAAATGAAAGACAGATCCCTATTGATCATAAGAAACCTAATGGACATATGTTTGGCGCTATCTAAATACATATTAGTTTACATATTTTTGCTCTTCAAATCCAATAATTTGTTGTATCTTCAATAAGTTTTTTAGTTATTATGGTGCTCAAAGAAGACCTAAATTTCTTATCATAGATTAATTTAAACAGAAAGTTTACACCTCCTTCCTTACCATCGTTGCTTATTGAATCTAGTTCAAAATCTAACAAGAAACGTTGGTTCTTAATTCTAAGTTTGAACTTTAGCATCTGCGCCACGGCTGCAAATTGTTTTTAAAGTTGCGTTAAGTTCCACATGTTAATGGTTATAAAATTTCCAGCTGACCCCCTAGTTATTCATAGTTCTTAGAGTATAGTACCCGCAGAGGCGATTCTACAAATAAAATGGGGGGGGGGTGGGAATTCTTAAAAAATAACGACTGGTTCCAATAAAAAATTAGGTTCTCAAAACTAAAATTCTCCCGACTGAAATGTGTCATATACCCCGCTAGCCAAATATTTTCCTGAATAAACCGACTATAACTTGAAAATCACCCTCTTGGGAGGGGAGGGGTAACATTCCCAACACACTCTGAGTATCCGTATCCTTAAAATAAAATTCCTTACACTCAGAATAATTATTTTCAAGTATTAGACATAGTTTTGTAGCATCCTTAAATACTAGTTCTTGACAATCGGCTGAGCAGCAAATTAAGATGTCTGAATTATTCATCTTACTCTAGATTTTTTTTATTTTACGTTATCTTAGAGATTTAAAAATGATTTCCAACTTTAAGTTGTCTGAGTATTCATTTGGAATAATTGCATAATAAGTGGTTTCTTTGGGTGCTATATTTAGTGCATGTCTGGCTTTAATTACAGATATTTTTTATTGCTCCTCTAGTAAATTTTGAGACATTAATCTATTTTCTCTCATTGATAGTTCTAGTCTTGTATGTACTGGTTTTTTTTTTTTGTTTAACTGATAGATTTTTTCTTCTGTATCATTCTGATTATATAAAGCTAACTACTGTCGCAGAAATGTCTTTAATGTTCTCAAACGGGTAAGATTTTTATTGTTGCATATTCTTCCTACATACTTCTAAAAGATTTAGGTCTCCTTAATTTTTCTTTTAGTTTTTTATTAGTTTTACACTGCCGGTAATAATATGATAATTGGTGCATATCAATACGGTATGAGCCTAACATTAGGAATCCAACAGACGTTTCATCTTTGTAAATGAATACTGCTCAGCTACAATCTGGCTTGTCTATCTGTTTATTTCATAAGTAAGTGAAATAAAATTCAGTTTGTTTTCTTAAGTTTGTTTTCTTCAGAGATAAAGCAGCCAGCCTCATTTTGTCAACCATAATCCATTAAGACATCTTTTATTTGAAGACAGCTTTTTTTATTATTTATTCTGTATCTTGTTGGTTGTGCTGTGCGTTTTATTCAACTTTTTTTTGAGTATTTATTTAATTTTTTTTTTTTTTAATTTGTTATTTAGGTGCCTCAAGAAGTCCTAACGGTCTTGTCACAGAGCACCGCGGAAGTACATTTAATATATGTTTATATAGTAAGAGCTCTAACCACTGCGCCACGGCCGCACTAAATTTGCTTTTTGTTTGTGTAATAAAGGCATTAGCTGCTCAAAACCATAAAATTTTTCTCTCAAGGCGGTTCCAGCCTTATTTCACAACTTTCCTTACTTATTAATAATCATTCCTATGAGTCTAAAATTAAAAAATATGTTTCTTTAATTTATATTAAAGTTGTATATATTTATAATAATATATTTGCACAGTTGTATTTAAGTCACTTTATTCCTATGTGACAACTTGTTTTGTTAAAATAACATGTTGCCACCTTCATGTAACAATCGAGTTTTAATGAAACAAAAATATACTTATTGTTAAAAAATGTATGCATAAATGATTTTATTGATGATATTTATTTATTTGATGCAGGTACTTTCATTTATCTTTTATTTAAGGTGGCAGCCCACTTGAGTGTGAAAAAAAAAAATCTTATTTTTCGAAGGTTTAACCTTTATAAAAAATAAAAAATAAACAAAAATGTAATAAAAGTTTAAAAAATTTGCTTTAATTTTATTTCTTAAAAAATACATAACATTTTTGGAAAACTTCCAAAAATGCTGTGTTTTTATTAGGTTATTTTATTTGTTTTTGTCTCTATTTAAAACTTTTCTACATTTTAACAAAGATATTTTTATTTTGCTCTAATTTTTTTCAGAGATAAAACTTAGATAAATGTGCTGAGTCAAATATATTTATATTATAATATCACATTTAAATTTAGTTTCTTTTTAGCTAAATTCGCTTATTGGGCTAGAGTCGGCGTCGAACCTCAGACTTCTTCAGCCAAAACTCTAACCACTGCGCCACGGCTGCAATTTTAATTGATTGTGAAAAAAGATCCTTGTTTTAGTTAACTATGCGTTGAAATTATAATATTTTTTTCCTTAATCTGTTTTGATTCCATGGAATCATCAGCATTGCAATGCTAATGAAATGTTTTAATAATGGAGAAGAGGGGGTTGTGTTGAAAAAAAAAATTCAATTTAAGAAATTTATTTAAATACTGAGTTAAATAATTATAAATTAAAATGGTTTTTAACTTTGGACCATGTAAAACTTAGCTGACAATAAAATAATTTTTAATGTCAGCTAAATTATTAAATTATCAAAGTCAAAAAAAAGTGGAATAACTAGAAATAGCCAAAAAGAAGTTCTTTTTGGTACAATGTTACAATGTTAGTTTTTAAATTGCTCTTTTAAAGAACAATTAAAAAACTAACATTGTTGTTTATTAGTTTAATAAAATTTCAAATTTAATAATAAATTGAGTACAAAATTTAGGACGCTAATTTGATCATTTTTTAAAAGTTTGAAACAGCTTCGATCTATTTCTGAAAAAGGTTCGATTTTTTTCGAACATTTTTTTAAAAATCTTTATTTAGTAAAAATTGAGAATTTAAAGGGTAAAAATTTAGTTTAAAATTATTCATTGTTTCTTTTCTTCCGCATTTTAGTTTAGTCTGTAAAATCTTTTTACAGCCAAAAGTATTTCTTTGGCAAATTAATAAAATTTTCTGAAATAAAAAATTATTTTAATAAGCGTTTAGTAACAAAACGTTTCATTATTAAAATATTTGAACATACTTTGAATTTTTCATTTAACACTCTTTGAAACCGGTTTGATAAACTCGTTTAACCGGCGGTTATACCCAAAGAAAGTTGGAATAAAAAAGTTGGAATACAAAAGGTAATCTCTGCAAAGCACCCGCTGCACTCGTCCATTCTGCATCCCCGATTTGAGAATTTTAAGATTTCCGCCAGCGTTAGTAACCACCTAAATAATCGCATAAAAAATTCATGCTGTAAAAACGACACAAATCAGCGTAAGTGATATTTATACGCAAATCAGGGTAACTGATATTTGTTACTAAATTTTTACTTCTTGTGTTTTTTTCTCAATGATTTTATAACATGCGTTTAAAGTATATTTTTAACGCGCAGGTTATAAGTTTTACTCGTTAAGTTTTACATTCGAACAATCGGACAGAAAAGTTAACGCGTTCGATTTTATTTTCACAAAGAATGGACTAATGTATACTTAAAAAGATTTCAGAAAAAAAAAAAAAAAAACTAATAAAAATAAAAATTGAAGAAGTCACTTATTTAAATAAAAACAACAACGTTTAAACTGCTAATTTTCGTTTCCGAAACACTTTAAAACATGAGCTCTAATTTATTCTGATTTACCGCTTTTTTTTTTACATGAACGTTTATATCGTATTTTCAAAGTTTTTTTGGTTATCATCGTTTTTTCTTTTTTAAAAAACAGTGTCCAATATTGAATAATGTTAAGATACAAGCTCTGCAAAGTTCGATGTTGCATTAGCACTATTATCAAGTAAGTGCAATAATAATTATTGTGAATAAAGATTAACGAAACTTTTTTTTTTCACATATTTTTTTTTTTTTTTTTTTTCACATTTAGAGAGGTAACTTTCTCTTTTCAAAAAAAATCTTTACGTATGCTTGGTTTTAACAAACAAAAAGCCTTCGTAAACACCTCCTCCTACCTAATCCGGCTGCCTGTTAAAGCGTTTTTTTTTTTTAAATACTATGCGTTTGTATGCGCATAAATTTTTTTTTTTTTTTTGCTTCGTCAAAAGCTGCCATTCTTCGCAAAAAAAAATTATTTTGCAGAGCATAATACTTTTAAAACTTTTTATGCTATGTATAATATGCCTTATAGTTTTTATTGAATATATTCTTGTACTAATTTTGTTTTTATAAATTTTTATTGCTATATTTTTTATTGAGGGTAATCTTTTTTTCATAGCCAAATCTATGTCAAGAAATATTTTGATACAAATTAAATTTTATTGATGAATTCTAAATTTATATGTTTAGTAGTTTTCCTGTAACCTTATATATACCTTCAACGTAGCAAAGACATTTGAATATAGACATTTTTATAAATTTGACATATGAATCAAAAACATTTAAATAAATTTATTTTTATAAATTTGCTTTTTTATAAAATATACTTACAGAATTAAAAGAATTTCTTAAAGAACTTATTGACAACTTCAATCACTTAAATGCCATAAAGCAAAAAGCTCCTATATTATGTTTAGTAGAAAGTTAAACGATATTTTTAGAAATTTTTGAGCAAACAGCAAAAGGTTTTTTATGGATAGAAACTGAGACAAAAAATTTTTTCAAAGAAATTTTTATTTATAAATTTTTTGTTTTTCATTTTACTTTAGAATATTGTCTATAGTTTTCATTTTCTTCTTCTTAAATGAAAGAATAAAAAGCAACCGAAGCGTAAATCTCGAAACAATTAGGTAATGACGTAGTAATTCTAAATGTATTCATGGCCGACGACGCGGGCTTCGAAGAGGAGGGGCACAATCGTCTATTTTTAAAAAGAATCCTCTATATCTAGAATTTTGTCTTAAAAAAGAAAAAAGAAGGTCCTTTAGAAAAAATGTGGGGGGGGGGATCACGTACCCCGGCCTCTCCCCAGCGTAGTCGGCCCAGGTCTTAACTGTATTTTTTATATCAAAAACATGACTAATATTACTTTTTTAAATTTAGAAAAGAAACCGCTCAAGAACTTGTGAAAAAGCAAAAAACCAGAATAGTGTACCAAGTAATGGAAAATATTGAAAATACACAAAGAAAATATTCTTCTGTTTTAGGCGGAAATGCTGGAGAATTGAATGCTTCAAGAACACTTGCAATAATTAAGTATTTGATTCAGCTACATTATTTACTTTTTTTTTTAGTAATGCACCATTTAGTAATCCTCTCAAGCAATAAAAGTTATAAAAATACCTTTTCTATTAGATAAATCCTGAGAACAGAGCACACCCTTGAAATTAAAAAAACAAAAAACATCACCTCTGTAAATAAAATTTAACATTAAAGTATACATACTCTCAAGTGTTACAATGGTAAATCCCACTGGATTCACCATTGTAATGATTAAACTCAGTAAGAACCTTTCATTGTTTCTCCTAAATCTAACACTTGAAATAATGATTTGATGTTTCTATTTTTTAGAAAAAAAAAAGTTAACAACGTAAAGCCAAAAGTGAACGTTATCTTTTTAAAAACCCACAAAACAGGATCCTCAACCGTAACAAATGTGTTGCAAAGGTTTGCAAAATCGCACCACCTCAAAGTAGCGTTACCAAAATGCGACCATAGGTTTTGTTACCCGCGTAAGTTTGAAACAAGTTTTTTATACAAACCCTATTTTGACAACAAGTACAACATGTTGTTTAATCATGCTGTTTTTCATAAAAAGAACATGCTTTCAATTATGGAAAACAACAATGCAAAGATAGTAACCATTATTCGAGAACCGTTTTCTCAATTTGATTCTACTTCCGATTACTTCAATTTTAGAAAGTTTTACAAACTTAACAATGAAACGCCTGTAATGGATGCTTTCTTTGAAAATTCAAATGAAGAACTTAAAAAAACGGTCCTATCTTTCAATCCGTTGAATGATACTCACGGTGCGTTTTCATTGGCTAAAAACCCTAACAGCTTTGACTTGGGTTTTGATGTTTGGAACGAGAGTTCTGAGTATATACAAAGCGTAATAAAGTCGATTAAGCAAGACTTTCATCTTGTCATGATTATGGAGTATATGGAAGAATCATTTGTACTATTAAAAAACGAACTTTTCTGGGATTTAGAAGATGTAACTTTTAATGTACATAACGCGAGAAAAAAAAAGGTAAAAAACACAAAGGACAAAGAAAAAATAAAAAATAGAGTTTATAGTTGGAATAAGCTGGATGCTGAATTATACAACTTTTTTAATAAAACATTTTGGGAAAAAGTTAAAAACGCAGGAAATGATTTTGAAATAGACGTACAAAAATTGAAAATCATGAATAAAAATATTAAAGAGCGGTGTTCAACTGAGAGTTCTAAAGTTAGTGCGGAAACAATCTTAAAATATTTAATAATGGAACGTGAAAATAATATTAGAAATAACTTTAATAAGTTTGGTTATGTGAAATGCATAGAGATTTTAGCTAATGATATTGAGTTTACAAAATGGTTTAAAATTTTTTTTTAATAGGATCAAAAATGTATCCATAAAGTTCGTAAATTTGCCTTCACGCCACCACAAATCAACCAAAAGTTGTCTCATTGTCTTCACATCAACGCAAACCAACGTAGCATTTTCTCCTCCGTCATCTTACCTTCAAATGAAGTAAAAACTAAAAACTAGTAGTTTTCAATTAAACAAATTGTGTGCGTTTGTATAATTCGAAGTTCAAACTTATTTAAAATTATTTCTTTGTTATACAGAAGTTTTTTTATCTGCAACATATCTCGTATGCATTTACCAAATTCTCTTGTTTCATACAAATTTTCTTATTAAAATTGAGCAAGATCTTTGTTTGCTCTGCCTTTTTTTTTAAACGACTTCCCAGACAGCCTCCCGCTAGCGGCCTAATGCTGGCCCAGTTCCGCTTGCGACTACGGCGCGATGACGGCTGTCGATCACGGGCCTGCATCAAAACGGTCATTGGGTTAGCACTAGCCCGCTGCCATGGGCCAGCATTGGCCCGCAATCGTTCGCCAGCACTGGCCTGCGATCGTGTGCCAGCACTGGCCCGAGATCATTTACCAGCACTGGCCCGCGATCGCTTACCAGCACTGGCCCGCGATCGCTTACCAGAACTGGCCCGCGATCGCTTACTAGCACTGGCCCATTATCTATTACCAGTACTGATCCGTGATCATTTCCCAACATTTGTTCGTGGTCGCGTGTGATTACTAAACCGTTACTTTTTACTAATACATTAGTACGTTATTATTAGCTGTTTTTGTATAAATGTATTATCCCGCGTAAATCAAACAAACAAGTACTTTTCGAAATTTATTCCCAACCAAAAGTGTGTTAAAAAATAATGAAATAAAAAATAAATAAATGTTATTAAAAGTTCAAACTGCTATTTATGTAAATAACTTTTTATACAAAGAACGTGCCTCTCGAGTTTTTCGTCCGCCATTTCAATCCCCAAAAAGCAAAAAATATCTCTTCAGTTGATGTTTAAATTTTTCTCCTGATGCTCTTAAGGTTAAAGGTTTTATTTTCACAGTATCTAAATAACACAAAGTTAAACAGTGTGAAAAATAGTAAACAATTAAACTAAAATGTATGATTAAAATGTATGATTAAAGTGTACATTACACTCACATATATAAACGTTAGGATAATTAAAAAATTTTTTTTTTCAATATTCTGCACCTTAACCCTATTGTATTTAACAAAACAACACTAGATATAAAGTTTAAAACAATATTTAAACATAAGACAAGTTCATTTTATTATCGAAAAAAAAAATTATATAAAAATAACTTCAAGAATAAATTGCAAGATTATTATTAACCAATGCAATGAAGTGATTTTTTGCTCACATTCGCAAGAAACCATCTCACAGATAATTATCCATTGGATGTCACTTAAGACCCCAAAAACTAAAATAACAAAATAATTAACAATAATGAAACATTTAAATTCAGTTTACTAATGCTTACTATGTGCTTCAATTTTAGCATTAGATGCAACTGATGATGCATAACTGATTTATGGAGCTATGAGAGCTTTAATTCATCAAGCAACTGATCAGCACGCAACTAAGTTGATATCATCTCAATAGGCAACAATAAAATATTTTCACTTTTCTTCAATCAAACCACATTTTTTAGAGTTAAAGCGCTAAAAATAAATTAAGAAATTGTCACCTTAAAAAGCACTTTTTTAAATAAACTCTTCATTAAAAAAAACTTTCTAGTCAATAAAATACAATACCATAGAAGTGGACGGGTGTCCATCCCATCAGTTGTCTAACTAATTGCTTACAAAAAATGTCCATCAATTTAACTTGATAAATTTTCATGCATTATTTACAACTTTCTTTTTTTTTCAGTAACTATGGAGTTTCTGAACTTAAATATACAATTTTGTGATAATAAACATTTCTATAAAATACTGAAAATGAACCAACATCATGATATGATGATTACCATCTAAATTACATATGCTCACCATTATCACGTATATCATATCATCATCACAATCATCATGATCATCACCTGGTAGGACAAAGACTTTTCTGAAATCTTCTAAATCTATCAGGTCTTACTGTCGTCAATTGAAAAAAAGTCTGAATAAATTTTTGCCATAGCTTATTTTTCTCTTGTTTAGTCATATGTAACTAAAAAAATCAAAATAGTAAAAAAATGTTAGAAAAATACTTCAAAATAACAAACAAAAAAATATACTATAGAAAAAATATATATTTGTAAAAATATACATAAAACCAGAGTTAATCTAATCAATATAATAATTCATATAATCTTTACATTTTTTAATGGTAAATGTGGCGAGTCTTAAAAGACCATCCACAAATACCATTTTGTTATCTAACTTAAAAAAATTAAAAAAACAAATTAACAAAAGAAAAAAAAAAACGAGAAAAGAAAAAGGAAAAAAAATAAAAATAAAAGAAAAAATACATTCGAAAATGAAAAGTAATTAGAAAGGAATTAAAATAAAATTTAAAAATTGCTCCATTTTGGGAACAAATAAAAAAAATATTTTTCAAATTTTATTATTTTGGAGTGACGATATGTGTTTGCTTGATATGATTTACTTTTTTATTTTAATATTGTAATTTTTTATAAAACTCTATAGTTTTTTTATTTTTTTTTTATTTTTTAATGAAGAAATAATTTTATTTTTATCGTTTCTATTATGGTTAGTGATATTAAGATTATTATTTTTATTAAATTATTGTTACTTTTTTTTGCAGTAATTGTTTTAGCTGCATGGTAGGTTTTTATGTTTTGTCAGTACATAACTGTATGTAACTTTCCTGTCTGTGCATTATATTCAATTGTTGTTTTAAAATTGATATTGGTTTATTATCATATAATTTTCTTATTATTCTTATAACTTTTAATTTATTATCATTATTATTATTTGTATTATCAATCCTAATTCATGGTATTTACTTAAGGTTAGTTTTTAACTATTTGTAAATGACGTCGATTGTAATCTTTTATCGAAAAATATATCGATTGATTGATATTCATTTTACATGAAAAACAGCCACTGAATTTTTTTTTCATCGATAAATTTAACAATATAATAAAACTTATTTATTGTTCTCATAGAAATAAATTATATGTTAAATGTAGTAATAAATTATATAAAAAATAGGAATTATAGGCATTAAGTGTGATTACAATCGATCATTTTGTTATATTTGATAATCGAAAAAAAACTTAAATTTGAGAAATGTTAAAATATAGAGCAATAAAAAATACTAAAAGTATTTCAGAAAATAAAATGCAAACAAATGATAAAAAATTTTTTTTTATATACATTCAATACAATTTTTAAATACATTCAATTTTTAAATACATGACAATCATCGAAAGCAATTTTGATGATGTCATTTATATATTCAAAGTCATTTTTTTAAATTATTATCTATGGAATGTATTATTACAAATAATATTAATATAATAATGTTATTATCATAAGAAAACACTTAAGACACAACGTAATAAATAATAAAATAAATAATAAAGCACTTTTGTTATCAAGAACAAAAATAAACAATGAACAAATTTCAACAAACTATAACAAGTGCAGCAAGATACACTGGAGAAAATTGTCATTAAAATTGCAACATGTTTAACCTTTTTTAAACTTAATGATAAATATTCCTAACAGACTTGAATCATAAGGATAAGTGAGAAAATTTGATTTCGTCAAAAATTACTAGTACACAACATAGATCGTGTTGTCAAAAATATAAATACTTTTCACTAAACAAACTTTGTTGTCTAACACAAATATTGCCACATGTTGCTTTATGATAAAGATTTGGTAAGTAAACATCATTACATGATATACACTATACACATTCACATGTATATGATATACACTATACGCATACACATATACAATATACCCATATACTTATACATATAATATATTGAATGTAGTTCAAATATTACACATATATATATATATATATATATATATATATATAATATATATATATATATATATATATATATATATATATATATATATATATATATATATATATATGTATATGTATATATATATATATATATATATATATATATATATATATATATATATATATATATATATATATATATATATATATATATATATATATATATATATATATATATATATATATATATATATAAGGCCGGCGCGATAGGGGGTGTGGAAGGGTGTTACACCCCCCCCCCCCATCAATGACTTTTAGTCGACAAATTTGACCCTTAGTCGGTAAATGTGACTCTTTTTGACTAGTTAGTCGGCAAATGTAGACCCTGTCGATAGGACAAGTCAGTCGGCAAATGTCGTTATGGCAGTCGGTAAATTTTAAAAAACGAAGACCTTTTTTTCTTTTTTTTAGACGGCAACAGAGTGCTGCTACATCGACTATCTTATAGCCTGCTGCTACAAGGAAGTGCTGCTACATCGACTGAGGGTTTGGCATGGGGAAGCAATCTTTTTTCTTTTATTATTTCAATTATATTCCTATTGTTTGTAAAGCCTCTACTGACAAGCGGAAAAATAAAATTATTTTAGGCCGCGTAACTGTAGAATTACCATATATATATATATATATATATATATATATATATATATATATATATATATATATATATATATATATATATATATATATATATATATATATATATATATATATATATATGTATATATATATATATATATATATATATATATATATATATATATATATATATATATATATATATATATATATATAATATATATATATATATATATATATATATATATATATATAAATATATATATATATATATATATATATATATATATATATATATATATATATATATATATATATATATATATATATAACGACTAAATAAAGAATTTTAATATATATTAAAATTCTTTATTTAGTCGATGAAATTGCAATTCTTGAGATTAAAATGTTTTTTGTATTATAATAAATAAAAAAGTTTTTGTCAAATTTAGATATATCAAACCTTATAAAAAACTTTCATTTTTTACGTGAAAAATAAATATTTTTTATAAGGTTAGATATATGTAATAATAAAATATATTTGTTTTTTCTTACTGTCTTTCTGAATACCTTTACTCAATATATATACATTTGCAAATACCCCCGAGAGTATAATAAACAGTATTACAATATAATATATATGACGCGCCCGCAACATTCCTTCTGACGCAACACGTTAATAGTTTATGTATAATACAATTATTTACACTAATTACAACACCCCTTGATCTCTAGATCACAA